ACCTATATATATATATATATATATGAAAATATTTTGTGTTTTTTTACTATTTCATAAAAGTTGTTTTTTATATCATTTTCCGAATAAACTTTTAAAAATGAGAAATAAAATAAATAACATGACATTTTTAACAGTTATTATTAAAATTATATCAAAGGAAAATAAAAATATAGATTATTAATTAGAAAGTAGAAATAATTATTTAGTATTTTATTATTTTGCTTCATTTCTTATCTTGTTAGCGGCTAATTGACTTATGCAGTCTTCCATGGAGTAAGGATCATTATTACCTGAGAGTGGACGTAGTCACCAATCGTTTTCGCTCTTGTGTTGTCATTTTTGTTGTAACTGAGTGGTTAACGTCTTGGCGTCACTGCCATTTATTTATATTCAGCACAAATCAATTCAAAATCGCCGCCAGCCTTTTAATTATACACTGTTTGGATTCATTGAAAAAAGTAGCATCATATCTAGACCATATAGTAACTATGACCTACAAATCATAATATATATCTAATTAACAATTAGTGACCAAAAAGCATAAACGAGACTTGATCATCTTCCAAGATTAATTAAGCCAACACTGAGTATATTCTCTCTTTCTTTTGTAGCTTATATGTCTTTAACACCGCTGATTATCTTTTCCAGTATTTTGTCATTCCGTCGCTTCCTTAACCCTTTTTCTTTTAATCAGTTTTGATTGGTAAAAATCGAACTCAATACCAAAAATATTACAATAATTCATCCAACTTATACAACTAATCGAGTTAAGTCTTATTATTAGATTGAACTACTCAAAGCAGGAGTTGGTTTTAGGACATGATTATATCGGACCAATGTTATTATACAATCTCTTCACACTCGAATCAAAACTTGTTAAACCTTAACAAATGCATTATGGCCGTTTTTAAGCGTATGTTTTGGATTACTTAGATTTTAAATTTATTTTCCAAAAGACCTAGTGAAATTTAAGCTTTTTATTTAAATATAAACTAAATTAAACACAATTTAGATGGAAGTAAAAGTAAAAATTAATTTTGAGAGCTTATTGGTCTTTAACATTCTTATGAAATGGAAGTAGTTATATGATGTTTAACATGACATGCGGTAGTTGGGACAAAGATGTACCTAGCAAAAAGTTTTGCCAGTCTTGGCATAAAAAACTGAGCTATTAAATATTAATAAGTCTACTGTCTAAATGGAGATTGCTTAATAAAAAAATGTTGTGTGTCATAACATCTGGTCTTTTTGTATGACTCTATTATACAAAGAGACTTGAAGGATAATGTGCTTTGCAGGACTTTCTTCAGTGTTTTGGAAGGACGTAATAGACCGGAGTGATAAAGAAGAATGCATTTTGCGTTGGTTCTCTTCAACTTTGGCTAGAAAGGTAAAATTTGGAACCAATTAAGTAAAATTCAGGCATGAGGTGTGTCTTGGAAATGTATGATTTAAAGAGTCTTTTCTTCGGTTGTTTCTCATTTCATATCAGCACGCTCATATTGAGAAGGAATTTTTTTTTTATTTTCAATGGGAGGAGCAAATTTTCACTGAATTTTCTAATTTAATTACTCTCCTCAAAATTTTTTTAAGTAAATAAGGATGTAAAGATGGGTATAAAAGTTGAATTAATAGTTCTAGGGTTTTCTCTTAATTAAAATCTCCATATTCTACTCCAGAATGTTGTTGCCCATCACCTCTAATGATCGATCTCCATGAGAATTTTTCCTTGAGTTTTAGAGATGCAGAACACAAATATTAATGAGATTACATAAGAGGAATATTATTCTTAATGCATGAGACTAATTGTGTTTTATGTTATGCAGGACACAAATCATTTTTTCTCCCCATGATTAGAATACCCTAAAATATGACTTTATATGCTTGCATTGGTTTTGAACTTGTCATTTGAATGTTGTTCTAATATTTATTTATCATTTCTTCTCTCTCCCTTCTATCTCAGTGATCAGAAAATGGGTAAAATACTAAAATATGAGGTGTATGTTAGCATTTCCCTTGTATATTAAATTAAATAGGGACTCAAACATACCTGTACTGTCTGTACTCTGTACAGTTCCACGCGTGGACATATAAATTGCCTCTACACAGGCTAATGCAGCGGCGTGTTACAAGTAACAAGCAACAAGGCTGTGTGATGTGATTTGCACGAGGGTGTATATATAAAAGCAAGACCTTGGCTAGCTAGTTTCATAGATGGTCACAAATCACAATGGTTGTATTCTGACCTTGGCACTTGGCAGCTATTAAAATATACAGCGCTGTATAAGCAACAAAGTGATACTTTAAACATTTTAGTAACAATTCTGTACCCAAAAAAAAAACTTGGTGATAATTCAACTGTAGAACATTCAAAGAATGTAACTCATCTCTTCTTAACTCTAGGAGATTATATATTTGGTGTTTGAGTGTATTAAAATCTCAAATTCTCTGAAAATTCTAACCTTATTAAATCTGATTCTAGTTACCATAGATATGTATAAACCAACAGTGATAAACACATGTTAATTGGCTTTAAGCCTGAAGGATACAAGTCCCTATAGTTAAAGAAATTTGGTTAAAAGATGGCTTGACAAAGTATCACCTCACTGTGTTCAATGTCATCCAATTAAACATATATTTCAAGGATTATATGTTCTTGATTCAATTTAAATGTATATTGTAATTTAACTCTTTAAATTTAAAATTAAATACATCATCCGTCTCATAATGACTACATTTTTACCATTTAAAAAATGTATAAAAAAAATAATTTTCTCACTTTTTTAATGTATTTATTGATACAATGGATTATTTTAGTAAAATCATGTATAAAAAAATTATATTTATTATAATCTTTAATCAACGTGTGAAAACCTTAAAATTTGTAAGATGAAAGAAGTACATTTTTATTTTATACTATTTTAAGATATACTCTTAATTTATATATTTTATAGACATATTTGTCACATTAAAGTCTCATTTTCTGTTTAGTAATATATAAATGAGGAGGGACTCACTACAACAAAATTGTCATATAGTGACACACACCCTATAGTGACACTATACATGTTACTAAAAATTACTTTTACCTACACAATAAATACAATATTTGTTGGTATATTATTAAAAAGTGTGGGTATAGACTATAGTGACACACAAAATATGTTGTTAAATTCCATTCAAAATTAACACTAAAATTGTGTGTTACTATATGTCAAATAGACATATACCTACATATATTGTATCTATAGTGACACTTTTTGTATATCATTATATGTAACATTTCTTGTAGTGACTCGTTTGTTCTAGGAGTAAGTTTATCTAGACTTTCTCCGTTCAATAACTCATGTTCTACATCAAATTTCAACGATCTAACCGTTAAATTTAAAGTTCTTAATACATAGATATGCAAATTTAAAAGAAATTGAAAACCATTTAATACTTTATTTCATTAATTTAAATCAATGTATAAAATAATTTTATGATTATCTATCAATTTGAATTAATGAAATAAAGTATTAAATAATTTTCAATTTTTTAAAAAATTTGCAGACTTTTAACAAGTTTATCTATTGTCGCAAAGAGTAAAATGAACCAGAAATCTAAATATTGATTTCATAGGGAATTGCTCTAGGATTGATTAATCTAATTTAATACTAATTAGAAAAGGTAAAAAGAAAATATTTGTTTGAGAACACATGAAAAGGAAATAAAGTATTTTTAGGATTTTAAGAATAAGAAGACAAATTAAAATATAATTAATATTAAAATTTATAATAAGAGATGTTAGTGATTGGTTTCACTAACTTTTCGCACATGTATCATTTCCAATTATTACTCAATTTAAAAAATTATCAAGTTAATTTAACATTCCTCAAATTTATTTAAATTCTAATTCATTAGGTGAAAAATTTTGAATTCTTTAAGAAAATTCTCAATTTCTTGATAAATTTTGTTAAACAAGTCACATTAAGGCCATAGAGATAAAAATTGTCTAATAATACTTATCATATTCCTAATAAGAAGTGTTATTCATCATACCATAGTTTTAAAAGGTTTCTCATACTCAATTAATTCTATGAAATCATGTAGAGAGTGACCAAGCCAAAACACGTATTAAGAGAAGAAGAATACAATTAATGAAATAAAAGCATCAATTGAATAAAACACAGGAAGAATTACATAGAATAGGATAATTACGACAATCTTCAACAATAAGTGAATTAGCCATGAACAGCTAATAAGATGACACAAAGAAAGAGAAGGGAACTTTTAAGAACTTTGTGATGACTAATATACTAATTACTTTATTCTCTCAAATCTCTCTAAAATATATTATATGTGGAAGTGTTTTTATTCTCTCAGTCCGAATTTTATAATATTTTAAATGAGTATTTTTTTATCATAGATCCGATAAGATTGACTCGCTTAAACAAATTTGATAATGTGTCAATTGTGTTATTGCTATGTTAACTGACTCAGGTAATCCACTTGAGTAAGATCTCCATAATACTTTAGAGATATTTTTTATGCTAGCTCAATCAAAATGACCAAACTAAAATTAAGGATGACAATAAAGTACTTATTCATTATTATGTTATTAGTCTTAATTGATTAATTATATGTATCAAATTTTATGAATTATATCTTGTGTATATTAGATCATTAATATCTTTATTATTGTTAAATTTAAGTCGGATTGAGTAAAATTTATGGAGTTATAATTTTTTAACGAGATATTAAACTCAATTATAATTAAGTATATATATATATATATATATTTATTTATTTATTTATTTATTTATTTGGATAGGTGGGGTTGATGGTCAATTACACGCCCTAAAAGAAATTAGTGGACTGAAACCATAAATAGCAACAACGGACGATATTGATTTCATAGGGAATTGCTCTAGGATTGATTAATCTAATTTAATACTAATTAGAAAAGGTAAAAAGAAAATATTTGTTTGAGAACACATGAAAAGGAAATAAAGTATTTTTAGGATTTTAAGAATAAGAAGACAAATTAAAATATAATTAATATTAAAATTTATAATAAGAGATGTTAGTGATTGGTTTCACTAACTTTTCGCACATGTATCATTTCCAATTATTACTCAATTTAAAAAATTATCAAGTTAATTTAACATTCCTCAAATTTATTTAAATTCTAATTCATTAGGTGAAAAATTTTGAATTCTTTAAGAAAATTCTCAATTTCTTGATAAATTTTGTTAAACAAGTCACATTAAGGCCATAGAGATAAAAATTGTCTAATAATACTTATCATATTCCTAATAAGAAGTGTTATTCATCATACCATAGTTTTAAAAGGTTTCTCATACTCAATTAATTCTATGAAATCATGTAGAGAGTGACCAAGCCAAAACACGTATTAAGAGAAGAAGAATACAATTAATGAAATAAAAGCATCAATTGAATAAAACACAGGAAGAATTACATAGAATAGGATAATTACGACAATCTTCAACAATAAGTGAATTAGCCATGAACAGCTAATAAGATGACACAAAGAAAGAGAAGGGAACTTTTAAGAACTTTGTGATGACTAATATACTAATTACTTTATTCTCTCAAATCTCTCTAAAATATATTATATGTGGAAGTGTTTTTATTCTCTCAGTCCGAATTTTATAATATTTTAAATGAGTATTTTTTTATCATAGATCCGATAAGATTGACTCGCTTAAACAAATTTGATAATGTGTCAATTGTGTTATTGCTATGTTAACTGACTCAGGTAATCCACTTGAGTAAGATCTCCATAATACTTTAGAGATATTTTTTATGCTAGCTCAATCAAAATGACCAAACTAAAATTAAGGATGACAATAAAGTACTTATTCATTATTATGTTATTAGTCTTAATTGATTAATTATATGTATCAAATTTTATGAATTATATCTTGTGTATATTAGATCATTAATATCTTTATTATTGTTAAATTTAAGTCGGATTGAGTAAAATTTATGGAGTTATAATTTTTTAACGAGATATTAAACTCAATTATAATTAAGTATATATATATATATATATATTTATTTATTTATTTATTTATTTATTTGGATAGGTGGGGTTGATGGTCAATTACACGCCCTAAAAGAAATTAGTGGACTGAAACCATAAATAGCAACAACGGACGTTGGTCAATTTTGGCTGTTTTTGACGTCTCTAAAAGTGCAACTGAATTTGAATTCCAGCAAACAGTGGAATCTTTTCTTAATTGTCAAAACCGCTGGCTCCGCGCGGATATGGACGCGTGTCCTGCGGCGATTCGTCCCTCAGACTGAATTATTCGGTACATCTATAAAGTTTTTTTTGGTAAAGAGGTACAACTATAAAGTTTAATTTAAATGTAAATGTTTATATATCGTTAATTAATTAAAATTGTTACAATTTTTAAAGTGACTTATATGATAGTAATTTATTATCGGATGAAAATATATAAAAAAAAATACTATCAATTCAATTTAATCAAATTCATAAGTATATCAGGATTTTGGTTGAAGTATCATATTTGAATAGTTCAGTTTAAAATTGAGTTTGATTTTAATTTTTTAAAATAAAATTAAGTAATTATTTTTTAGTTAAGAAATATATTTATTTTTTACAAAAATAATTTTGAGATAAAAGTTTTTAGACATAAATGATTTCGCTCTAAAGTTAATTATAATTAATATTACAAATTAAATTTGCAAAAATGTATCTAAATTCACTGTAATAGTAATTGGATTATAATCTGTACATTATATGCTTTGTGCAATCATAATTAAACTATGTTTGAATTATGTTAAAATGACCGTAGTTCAACTATTTTGTTTTCCTGGAGCTAGGCAATATATATATATATATTATGTTAGATAAATAAAAAACATAATTTTTCGAATCAATAGCAATATAATTTTATATTATATTATAAAAACATCTTAGTCTCATCTTAATTATAATATAAATGAGACACAATTACCATCTTACAAAACAATTTTGTAATTTTAAATTACACAGAAAACTCACTTTATAAGATGATGTGAACATTTGTGAAAAAAGAACTCAAATCTTACATCAACCAAAAAAAATCAAAGTAATATATATATATTTTTTTAAAAATAAACTAAACCTAAAACACACATCCTAATATATTAGTATTCAATAATAATCTACATTGTGTATAATAAGTTTGTTGATTATTAGTAATAATGAACTTAAAATTTGTATTAATAATAATTTTTAATTAATTAATGATGGAAAAATAATTTGTCCCTTTATTTACTTAAAAAATTTTATATTTTTACGTGTCTCTTATTTTTCTTCTAAATATATTACTAATTTTTATAAATTATATTCACATGTGGAAAAGAATATATCTCGCAATGCCATTTTTTTTTTTATAGCAGTATATAGGATAAGTTATAAAA